TCATATGAACGTACGCATAATTGCATCTTACTAGTGAGCTTTTGTTATTGTCTAACATATTGTACATACGAATTTATTACCCAGCACCAAGTCAAAGGATGACCATTGTACCATAGCTCAATGGAATACCACAGCACAACACAAGGTAATCCGTACCTTAGGCATAGACTCTGGGCATGGTTTTGTTCCCTATAGTGATTTCCGAGATTTAAAAATCCTGTGTATATTCCAACACGATTGAATGGATGGATTATGAAGTCTTATAGCCTAACTTACTTGCATTAGGCCTAAATCACCATCATAATAGTAATTTCATTCATAAAGTTTCATTTGAACCCTGATTTGACCTAATAATTTTTTGACAACGTACAAAATACTATGTCTTCGCAAAGGGCAGTATACTTAAAAAGAAAAAAGAAAAGAAACAATAATTTTCGACACATCTTCATGTTGTTCTACAGTATTCTTCTTCTTGTTCTTCACTACCACCACCACCACTACTACTACTACTACTACATACATTTTAAAAAAAAATAAGAACACATTTTGTAAGAACACTGAGGCTGAAATCGCATTAAAATTAAGTACAAAATAAGAACAAATTGAGGCTGAGATAAAATTTCAAATGAGGTTTTTCTTTTTAAAATAAATAAATAATTCTCCGACGGGATCCAGAGGTGGGGCCCCGGTGGGGGTCTGGGCCCTTTAGTCACATAATCCAAGTTGATACTAAAGTGCGTGTTGGCTGGGTTGTTTTGTTCGGGAAAGAAAAATTTTCTCCGTTGATTGATTTTAACGAAATAATTAGAAAACTCTCTAATATCTCAAGTTACTGCATGACCGTTTTTATATTTAATAAAACCAATTTCTTCTAATTTAAATACATTTTCCCACGAATTCGTGATAAAATTCGTACATCACGCATAGACTTGCGCTAAATGCGTGACAAATTTATGATCACGCATGTGTTTCTGCAAAATGCGTGTTTCATCCAAAATCACTTCGAAATGCTGGACCGTCCCGTGCGATGCGAGACGGTTGGTAACTATGTGACAGTGACATCTATCGGCAGAGAGCAGAGTAAGGAAAGAACATTACTTTATAGTTAGATTCTGCTACTCAACTTAAAGAACTTGTACGAAAATAATAATAGCATGAAATTGAAAAACGATCTTGCAATGGGTAGGTGATATAGAATAAGCTCAATTTTTATCATAAAATGCACTAAAACAAATACATGTTTATACCTTTGGTTACGTTTAATTTACTAGAAATTACCTGTTAATTATTATTCAAAGAGTAAAGCCTAATGGTGATAATAAATGTGTTTATTTATCACTTTGAGACTGATCGATAACTATAGACCAAGGAGAGTTGTTCGTGATCAATACTAATTAATTGCTTCAATAAGCTCTCGATAATGTAAATTGTATAATTTTCACCGCGGTTAATAACAGTCTGATCTGTACGGTATAGGTGATTTACCAATTCCCGATATCATACAATCAGGGAGATGTAAAAAATAAAAAATATTTTTTACATCTCCCTGATACAATATACCATAAAACATTATTTATTCGGTAGTACATTAGAATGGTCTTCACACAACGCGGTTACCATAATGTTAGTTGTTTTGTGACAATTTCAAATCGCATAATTAACACGATAATGACCGTGGGAGTATATTGATATGGTAGTGTCAGGTTCTTCTCTCCTAAAATGTGTGTTAATTTGATGAACAAAAGAAAATAGACAAACAAAACCCGTGAAATATAATCCATTGTGTTATTGATGCATGTCGAGGGGATATTGAAACAACCAATCTCCGACACGTTGTCAAATGC